TATATAGGTGTTTCTAAAAAGCTGTGGTCTAACTGGAGAAATCTCAGAAGGCTTCTTGGAGGAGGTGGCACTTGTACCGAATCTGAAAGACAGGGAAGAACATGAGCAAACAGCTATGAGCAGAGAGCAGTCTGGGCATAGGGACCAGCTTGAGCAAAGGCTTGGATACAGGAATCTCCCTGCACATCTACCTCCATTGGTTCCTGGTGGAAAGGCCTAGAAATGTCCTTTTGTTCCTCTGGGGGCAGAAAAGGGAGCTCCTAGAGCAAAGCCCTTGCTATGTAACCTAGTGTCTTGCCCTCTAGGTTGGGGAATTGTTGAGCCATGTTGAATCTTTATGTGTGTGTCTCTGAATTGTGGTAGTGGCTGTAGGCATGGGTGAGTGCTAGAAGTTAATGATACAATTACTCTGCACGACGTGCTTTCCTACCCAAAAACCAGATCAAAAAGAATTATAGCGTGTTTCTTTGTCTGTGCCACCATGGCGGGGGCCGGGGAACTGATCAGACTTTGTACCAGTAGCTCCCATATGCCTCTTCCGCTCAGACACGGGAGACCACCAGGCCTCTCTGTGGTCACAAGGCCTGGCCCCTCCCAGGCGAGTTAGCCGACAGCAACTCTGAGGATTTCTCCTTCCTTCCTCCAAGGTGCCTCCAGAACTCAGAGTGGCTGCTCTCAGATCAACACTTTCTCAAGGTGCATTACCCCAAATTGGAAGTGTCCGAAGACTGCCTGTACCTTAACATCTATGTGCCCGCCCATGCGGACACCGGCTCCAAGCTCCCCGTAAGGCTGCCTGTCATGCCGGGGCTCCAGCTAGCGGGTTCTTGCCCAGGGACCCAGGCAGAGTGGCTAGAATCAAACCTACCCCCTGTTGGGTAAAAGGGAAATGTAATCACTTGACGCATCAATAACTCTTAAAAAGTCATTTAATGACAGATTCACTTTATCTTCCTTTCTGATTGCTTCTTTGTTGGCAGTGACTTGGCTTGACCTTTGATTTTTATTTTGTTTTGTTTTTCCCCTCTGTTGAGTATTTAATGGTCTGTAAACATTTAGAAAGACACTGCTTAAAAGGACCCTGATTTTCTGTTTGCTTGTTTGTTTGGGAAATCCTTTTTTAAAAAGGATCATTTCATCCTCCAATTTTTCTGTTTGCAGTGAGGACAGGTAATAAGTATTTCATTTAAGAATGTAAAATATCTCTGTATACGTGAACGGGAAAGGTGTTAATTTTTAACCACACCCTCCTGTATCCTGTCTCCCCTTCGCCAGTGCAATGGGAGACTCAATCTGTTGGATCCTAACAATATGTATTGAGCACTGACTATGTGCCAGCCACAGTATATTATCTCATTTAACCCCCACAGTAACCGGTGGGTAAGGATTATTGGACCCATTGTACAGATTAAGAAGATGAGGCACGGGGATGGCATAAGTGACTTGTTCCACGTTGTACACACAGTAAGTGGCAGGTCCGATGCCAAAGCCAGGGCTTTCTTTTTCCTCAGTGGCTTTATTCTCTTTTCCCACCCCAAGAGTTGTAGTCCCTAGTATGACTTTAAAAAAGAGAAGGGCGGGGCACCTGGGTGGCGTCATTGGTGAAGCCTTGGACTCTTGGTTTCTGCTCATCAGGTCGTGATCTCAGGGTCGTGAGATCAGGCCCCGTGCTCAGTGTGCAGTCTCCTTAAGATTCTCCCTCTGCCCCTCCCCACCTGCAAGCTCTCTCTCACTAAAATAAATGAACAAATCTTTTTTAAAAAGAGAGAATGGAAAGGATTTATTAATAAGTATATCAATCCTGATGGTACCATGTGAATGTTTAATGTTCCCCAGTCCCAATTTTTCTAATCAATATAGTAAAGTTTTCGCACTTCTCTTCCCTGTCATCTCTCCTCGCTTCTCTTCTCTCTGTAGGTAGGGGAAGGGGTGAAGTTAAAACAACTTAAGTGGTTTTTGCTCTCCTACATGCCTTACAGTGATTTCCTTCTTCCTATGGGTCACAAGTTCAGAGATATTTAGTTAATACTTTCTGAGCACTTGAAATTGTTCTAAGAACTTTAGATGCAGGATCTTGTTTAAAATCTCATGATAACCCATCAGTGAGATACTTTCATTCTTCACATCTTACAGATGAGAAAAATGAGCCTCAGAGAGGTTAAGTAATCTGCCCAATGTCACCCAGCTCATCTGTGGCAGAGCTGGGAATCAAACCCAGGAGTACCCAGATGCCAGAGCCCACAAGCTTACCCCTGGGCCTTCTTCAAAAGACAAAACCTCTGATGCTACTTAGAAAGGAAAGTGAGACGCTTATATTTCCCTAAAGAAAGAAGGTCCCAGCATGCATGGGGAGGGGATGTGAGTTTCTGGCAGGTTGCCTAGAAAGGTCTTCTCCCTTCCACAGGTCATGGTGTGGCTCCCCGGGGGTGCCTTCGAGACTGGCTCAGCCTCCATCTTCGACGGGTCCGCCCTGGCTGCCTATGAGGATGTGCTGATTGTGACCACCCAGTACCGGCTAGGAATATTTGGTTTCTTCAAGTGAGTGTCCCCATGTGACTGACACCCCGGATCCCCAAGGCACAGCTGTGGGCAGCCATAGGGGATTCAGTGCCCAGCCGCCTAAGGAGGAATGAGCCTTCAGTGACATTGAACAAATGTGACCCAAAGTAGTTAGGTAATTTTTGCAGCAGGAAGAGATTAACCCCCAAGTCTTGGTGGATTAAAACAACAAAAAAAATCTTTCTCACTCAAGTAAGGTCCAGCTGAGTGATCATGACTGACAGACATCTTTCCATGTGGTCCATCAGGGACCAGGGTCCTTCTATCTCATGGCTCTGCCCTCCTTAAGGGCCCAGACCCTCTGCATTTGACCAGCAGATGGACAAACAGAGCCTCCACCTCGAACTCCTTGAGCTTCAGGAAGCAGATTGACATCCACTGAGCATTCTCACCCTGCCTCTTGCCCCAGCACAGGGGACCAGCATGCTCGGGGGAACTGGGCCTTCCTGGACCAGATGGCCGCCTTAACCTGGGTCCAGGAGAACATCGAGTTCTTCGGTGGGGACCCACGCTCTGTGACCCTCTTTGGCGAGTCAGCGGGAGCCATAAGTGTTTCCAGCCTTGTGAGTTCTTCTCTTTGGGGGGCTTGAACGAACCTCGGTGGGAGAGGTCCGTGAATCACTCGTGGCTGATTGGTACTTCATGTCGAACAGACACCTTGTCTCCCTCAAGCCTCCCATCGTGAGTTAGCGGCTCAGTCTCCTTTCGTGGACAAGAGCTGTCATCAGGAAGAGTTTAAATGAACTGCCCAAGATCACCTAGTGAGTAACAGTTTGAAGAAAAATCCCTTATATTTATAGGGTCGAAGCCCTGGACAGGTAATTACTCGTTTAATAGAAAAACTCAGCTAAAACATAAAGTAACAAAGGACGCATATAACATTTTATTTCAACTTCCAACATAAAGTGTGCATTTCTCCACCAATGGTTTGATACGGTGCCATATCTTTTCAGGGTCAGTCTGTTGGCCGGAGATCCACTGTGGGCTCTGGGCATAACCCCCTCCCCCCAGATTCATTGTCCTCTAACAGCTGCTTTAGCTTCTTTACAGCGAGCACGAACTTGAGGTGCCTGCCTTGTAGTCTGTGAATGCAGCGTGCTCATGGAAGCTTCTGCTGCCTCCCCACATATCTTATACTCTTACCTTGTTCACACCAAATTAATCTGACGGCGGTATTTTTCAGCTACTTGCCTTCATCAAAGGTTTCTTTCCCCAAACATAATTTTGTTTTCTTTTTACACGCATACTTCATTGGTTCCCACGATATTTCATCGATTAGGTCATTACAATAGCAAGTGTAAATGACAAAGCAAGTTTGGGAGCAAATGCACCTTACTCGTGGCCAGAAACTGGTGGGAATAGAAAGGTATGTGGCACTAGAAAACAGCCCTCTGGCTCTGAGGGGTCGGCATCTCCTGGGCCTCAGCTAACAGGTTAATCACAGAAGGCAGTTACATGGAAGTGGGTTAAGAGAGCTTCTGCTGTATAGCACTTGACAATATACAAGATATTTTTCTGTCTTCAAGATAACTCGATAAGGTGAATTAGAGTAAATCAACTTTTACATATATGATGACAGCCGCCATTTCCGGAGTGTGTAGTATTTGACCAGGCATCGTGCAAAGCCTTCTGTATTCGTTACTTCTGCCCTACAGAACAGTTCTGTGATATGGGCTCCATTTTTCCTTCTGGTTTTGCAGGGAATAGATTGATGCTCAGAAATATATAAAAAACTTGCCTGAGGTTCTCCAGCCAGGAAGTGAAGGAGCTAGCACTCACACACTAGAATGTTTGACCTCAAAGTTCCTGGGAGTTTGGGGCTCAGAGAGGTTAAATAACTTGCCTAAACTTTCATGGCTCGTCCTTGAATCCCCAAACCAGGGCTTTTTTTTTTTTTTTCTCCTGTATGTGTAGAGCTTTTAAGGAGACTTCCTGGGAAGGTTTCTTTAAAGAAGGATGGGTGGTGTGTGTAGTGGATGGAGAGTCCCCTGCCTGACTTCTCCTGGTCTCCTGTGTTCTCATTCCAGATTCTATCCCCCATGGCGAATGGCTTATTCCATAAAGCCATCATGGAGAGTGGGGTAGCCATCATCCCTTTCCTGAGGGCCCCCGATGATGAGAGGAATGAAGATGTAGGTATATTGTTAACACCTCTCTAGCTTCCTCTGCTTGGTCAGGGGAGAACGTGGTTAGGTGTTGATAGACCATGTGCTTGGCCGTCCTTACCGACCATGGCCAAAGAATCCGATGCTGGCCAAGGCGAACCTTACTGCTTCATGGAAGGCCTGGTTCACGAAATAGTTCTCCAGCGCCGTCTAGCTGGTGCACATGAATGTGTGTGTATGCATGTGTACATGAATGTATATGTGATAGTTCTTACATCTTATTCACTCTTCTTCACCTGGGATATATAACTCAGTCCGCTGTGTGATATATACTTCATTTCCTGTACCTACTCCATTCCACCTAGAGTACTATGTTAAGAAAGATTCTGAAGCTGTTTCCAGTTCAGTGGGAAAGAACACTGTGACTGATGCATGTTGTCTGGCATGAGATTGTAAGGGGACGGTGAGGCATATGCCCCAGACTTTTGTCATCTGTCATCTTGTTTAGTGCTCTACCAAGCAGTGAGGACCTGGAGACCAAGGTCTCTGTCTCTTTCACGTCCCAGCATAATGCCTAGGTTCTAGTAGGTGACTATTGATGTTTGCCGAATGAATGAGTTAACAAATGAGCTGATTCAGTCAATGAATATTAGCACGGGGCTGTGGAGCCATCTCCTGGGGACTGTGCATTTTAGTGGTATATTTGCTTAAACACCTTGTAGAAAATAACGGTGTACACCAAGAGCAGAGACCTAGAGATATGATATTGTAAACATACCCTCAATACACAGGGAATATTGATTTGGAGAACACGATATATCAGCTTTCGGTTTGTGCACATACTTATTCATTCAGCACACATATATTGAGTGTCCCTTGTCCCCCCAGCTCTATGTTAGAACCTGTAGGCTTATAAATGGAGACAGGCCACACTGACTTGAGAAGACCATCATCTTTAACCTGGAGTCCAGGAAAAGTCTGGGAGGTGGTCCTTGAGCTCCTACAGTTGTAGGCAGATTCTGTATGTTTGTGCATTTTCCCAGGGAAAGGGTTTGTAGTTTTCATTGGATTTTCAGAGCCTTCATGACTCCCAAGCACTTAGGGACCACCACTTTCAAGGGAAAAGTGCTCAAGGAAAGTTCAATGACTGGGAGAGATAGTGTTTAGGAAAAGATTAGGAAGAGCAGGTGGGAATCCGTGACATGACAGGAAATTAGAGAAGGAGGGAGTTCATGAAAGGACATCTCAGAGGAGGTGGGGATGAGTGAATTGGTGGGAGACAGAAAAAGATGTTCAGGGTTTTCCAGGCTGCAGTGGGGGTGAGGCTGAGCAGAGCTGACAAGCTGAGACTGAGCCAGAGTCATGCCTCAGCATACAGTTAAGTCATGCTTGCAAAGCTGCTCCTCACTCTTGGGGCTCCTGAGTTGGGCTTCTGGGCTCAGTGGGGCCTAGTGCCATGGAGTCAACGTCATAGGACTGGTGTCTCCGTGACCAGGAAGCTTGACTCTATTCGGTAGCCACAGACTGACACACCACCTCCCCCAGCTCCAGCTGTTGCTGAATATGGCCAGGAGGGTCAGGCAGGAGCGTGAAGAGGTCCAGGGCCAGCCTGTCCTCAATGGGTACATTCTGTTACATGTACATGGGGGTGGGGAGGGGCAGCAGGCTTCATATATGAGGAACCAGCCTGGGGCTGGATCAAGGACTCTTTTCAACTTTCATTTTCTTGGCGGCCTTCATTGCTGTGCTCTGACCCAGTCCTCTGGAAATAGTTGCAGGTGATCGCGCATGTCTGTGGTTGCAACGCATCAGACTCCGAGGCCTTGCTGCAGTGCCTGAGGGCTAAATCCCCCGAGGAGTTGTTGGACATCAACAAGGTGAAGACGGACAGGAGGGTCTGGGGGCCGAGAGACTCCACCACTCTCTTACTTACTTTGATTTGGGACTTTGGAAAGACGGAGGTTGGGATTCAGAGTAATGGCCATAGAAACACAAGGTAGACTATGTAGAACCCTGATAGGTAATTTAAGGAACTTGATGGGCTGGGGTGCTGTTTAGCCTGGAGAACATCCAGGAAAATATGAAGGTTGTCTCTAAGTCACCAGGAAGAGGGACCGCACCTGTTCCACATGCTGCCAGAAGTTAATTCAATGCCAAGAGCAGGAGTTCTGTTAGGAAGCCATTTTGGCTTGGTATAACCAAGAATTTTCTAAAAACACAGTTGTCTTCAAAACAACCAGCTCCTAGATAAGGTAGTGTGACACCCACCTCTATAGGTATGCAAGCAGAATCTCGATGACTGCTGACAGATTTTAGTCACTGGATGATTCATTGGACCAAATGAGCTGTTATGTCCCTTCCAATCTTGAGAGCTTCTGATGGTCCTTGGAAGAGCGAGGTCATTATCTGTCACATTCCAACATTTGTTAAGTAGCTATTTGGCGTGGATGAAGTGTCTGCTGTGAGCAGTGCTGGAATCTGGGAGCTGGTTACAAAGTCCTTGACCTGATGTAGTGTGAAAGGTCTTCTATGTACTCCCTTCCACCCCTATTCCCAAACAGAGACCCCAGAAAACCATGGATAGAGCCAGGTGTTGCTTCCTGAGACCCAAGAACTATCCAGCCAAGTCGAAGGCAAAGATACACCAACCCCCACTACTCTGACCACCTCCAGCCCCCCGCACCATGCCTGCCCCTAGCTCACCACTCTGCCCATTGCATTTGGCCAGTGGTTTTCAAACTTGAGCGTGCATCAGAATCACCTGGAGGGCTTGTGAAACAAGTTGGCCGGGCTGTACCCCCAGAGTTTCATATCTAGTAGGCTTGGGCTGGGGCCTAAGAATTTGTTTCTAAGAAGTTCCCAGGTGACATGCTGATGCTGCTGGTCCAGGACCCATACCTTGAGAACCACTGTTGTAGGCTCCTGTCTTTTTTAGGTAGATACTAATTATTATCCTCATTCAGCAGATGAGGACTCTAGGCAGGAAGCTGAGCCCCTTTGCCCAAGTAAGTGGCAGGGCTGGCCAGGCAGCACTCGTGCCTTGGGAAGGGCCAAAGGTGGCTTATTTTTCCTTTCTTAATGCAGTTTGACCACTGCTGGAGTGGGTTGGCTCTGCTGGGCTAAGGGTTTGGGGGACAGCGGATTTTAGGAAAAGAAACAGATGCTGATTTTTCTCTTCTTCTTTATTCCAGAAAACCAAGTCTTTCACTCGAGTGGTTGATGGTTTTTTCTTTCCTGATGAGCCTCTAGACCTATTGACTGAAAAAACATTTAATTCCGTTCCTTCTGTCATCGGAGTCAATAACCACGAGTGTGGCTTCCTGCTGCCCATGGTAAGAATCCCAGCTGTCCTCCCTGTCGCTCCCTCAGCCGCGAGGCAGCTGTGTGCTTCCAAGCTGAGCACTCCCATGCATGACGCCAAGTGCTGTGAGGGAGCCTGGCAGCCAAGGACGCAGAGATGCCCCTTCCTCTCGCTCAAAGAGGGTAACTGAGGATTGGGGGCAGCCGTAGCCAGTGTCTGCCCGGCTCCTCATATAAGGCTTATAGAGAAAGAAACAACTCTATAAAAAGTAAGGGAGGATGGGATCCATTTGAGCTTTGATCAAAACATTACAAAGGATTGTTTCAAATTAGCACAGTTACTATACTTCAAAGGTGAAATTCATGCAGGTTTGGAAAATTTCAGGCCTTTACATTTTCATGTCCAGCCTCGGTTCTGGCATTTTGACTTCCAAGAGAGCTCCCGAGGCTCGTCCAAGTTGCAAAATTATTGAATCGCTTTAGTCATTCAACAAGTATGAATGGAACGTTTGCTACCTGCTCTACACTCTTGGCAAAACCCAAGCGTTCAGGGGCGCCTGGGTGGCTCAGTCGTCAAGCATCTGCCTTCGGCTCAGGTCATGATCCCAGGGTCGTGGGATCGAGCCCCGCATCGGGCTCCCTGCTCCGCGGGAGGCCTCCTTCTCCCTCTCCCACTCCCCCTGCTTGTGTTCCCTCTCTCGCTGTCTCTCTCTCTGTCAAATAAATAAGTAAAATCTTTAAAAAAAACCCAAGCGTTCAACACTAAACAAGTCACATGGCTCCAGCTTTCAGCAAGCTCCCATCTGAGTGAGGAGAGCAGATGAAATGCAAGGTTGAATAGATGGTTTCAGGAAGGGGCAAGTGCTATGAAGTACGTAAACTGGTAGAAGATCTTTAGGGAGGAGAAGGGGTAGAGAGGAAAGGCTTCTCTGAGGAGGGATCGTTTGTGCTCGGGCTGAATGCTGAGAAGGAGCCATGATTCCTTGACCCTGCCATTTAAGAAGCCCCTCCTGATTCGAAATAAACTTTTCATCTGTCCTCAGAAAGGAGGAATGCTCAAATTCATAATATCACCATGGCTCAGTTAGAGAGACCAACCTCCTCCTTTCAAGCTGAGAGAGACGCGGTCATGAAAGACAGAGGTCTGCCACGGTTAGACGCTAGTTGGTGCCGTTTAGAGCCAGAACCCCGAGTCCCTTGGGCTGTCAAAGGCACGTTCTGCCTTTGACAGATGAATTTGACCTACAGAGCAATGTTTTGGGGTAAGTGAGGGTGGGGATCTTTCTCTTCATGTTGTAAATGAGGCAACTGAGTCACAGATTATGGCGTAAGGAAGGCCCTTCAGTACTTTCAGGTCTGTGCCAGAAAGAAGAAGGCAGGTGCTCCTGATGACAGCCACCACCACCGTAACCACTGCAACCGGTCCCGACTGCCTTCCACGTGCCAAGTGTATGCCATCGGTGGGACAGCTTGCAAACAGGCATTGGTAGTTAAAGAAACTTAGCCTCAGAAAAGCTAAAATTCCCTTCCAAAGTCTCCCAGCTGGGGAGGAGACAGTGGTGTATAATTTTTTTCATGCGCTTAGGCTCTGCCATTAAATGTTGGGTTCTCTGTTAACCTGCTGTGTGACCTTAAGTGAACTGCCCAACCTCTCTGAACCTTTATTCCTTTAATGTGTGAAATAGGACTGGTCTTACTACCTGCTTCACAAGTACCCATCAAATAGCCTGGCATATAGCAAGTGCTCAGTAAATGTTAGATATTGGAATTATTCAAGTGGTGCCATGAGATTTGGTGCCCAGGTCTGCATAGGTCAGGAGCCTGGGGCGGTGCTCTTATTTCATGTGACCTTGCAATTACATCCACTGCTGGCCATTGGAGACCGTGGGTAATCCTCCAAAAACAAATCTCAGCTCCTGAACATATAGAGAGGTTCTCAGTAGTTGAAATATACTTGTGGATAAATTGAATGACCCTGGAGATTCCCTCAGATGCCAGGAGACAAAGTTGTTTAAATATTTACCCTGGTGATTTATTATCCTAAGATTTTCAGCAGAAAATGTCAAAGAGAAATTCATTTGACAGGTGAAGAGTACTTTTACCCTCTCATATTTTTAAGCTGTGGTACTGGCCAGGGAGGCGTCAGTTAGCAAATAATTACCCATAGGCTCGTACAGAGCCTAGGTTCTTAACCCCCAGCCTGGCCACCTCACTGGCTGTCGGCAAACTGCTGCCTTCTCAGAGGCCCTGATTGCAAAGGTCTTGAGAAAGAGAACCATAAGTCACTGGCTTTGAGATTTTCTGGTCTCTGTTTGGACTTGATGCCAAAGCCAAGGTGTAGGCTGTTATCAGTTTGCCAAGGCCGCCGTAATAAAATACCACAGACCAGATGGTTTAAACAACAGAAATTTATTTTCTCACAGTTCTGGAGGCTGGAAGTCCAAGATCAAGGTATCAGCAGGTCCAGTTTCTTCTGGGGCCTCCCTCCTTGGCTTGCCTTCTTCCTGTGTCCCCACATGGTCTTTCCTCTGTGTGCACGCATCCCCAGTGCCTCTCTTGTGTGTCAGAATTTCCTCCTCATATAAGGCCACCAGCCAGATTGGATGAGGGCCCAGCTAACGTCCTCTTTCTCATTTAATCACTTCTTGATAAACCCTCTCTCCACATGGTCACATTCTGAGGTAGCGGGGGCTAGGGCTTTAACATGGGAATGTGGGGGCGGTGTCAGCTCATAACATGGCCTTTCCACAGAGCAGCCACTCGGGCGCCACAAGACCACAGGTATGGCAGGGACCGGCGGCATTTTAGCAAATGTGGGAAGAAGAAACTTCATTGCTCCACCAACCCACTGAGGCTGCTCCTGCATGTCGCCCCTGGGGGCTGAAAAGGTTCCTGCTCTCCAGCCTCTCTTCTTAAAAAGCAGGCACTTTGACCCTCAGAGAGACCGCTTTCCCTTCTGGTGACCTGAGGTGCTCACAGAGGACGCCCTACTTCTCTCCACAGAAAGAGTTTCCTGAGATCCTCGGGGGCTCCAACAAGTCTCTCGCCCTGCACTTGCTACACACAGTCCTGGTAAGTGAGCTTGGGCAACTGATTTTTCAGTCAGCTGAAACCTCCTTGGGCCACTCTCAGGAGAAGGGACTGGGGCTATAGACGTTCCTCATTTGCTCATTCAGTGAATCTTTGCTAAGTATGGTTCCACCATCCCTTATTCAGTCTCAAAATCCAAGGAGCTCTGAAAACCAGCCCACAGGGCAGCCACACTTGCCCCAGCCGATATGTGGCCACTGGTCCTTATTGTTCCCATTCACGTCATTCATCCCACTATTCACGTGCTTCTCTGCGGACATGGTAATGTAGGGGCTGAGGGGACCACCCCCCAGAGCATGTGACATCATATGCAGCCTCGGTACTGAATCCGCAGACCGTGGGGTGGGTGGAAGGAGGAGGCACTTTGGCACAGTGTCTAACAAACCAGATCAGAGGAATGTCCGAGGCCCTCTGGTGCCCGGGAGGTACCAGAGCCACGTGGGTCCCTCAGGGAGAAGGGCCTTGAAGAATGAGTTAGGTTTGTCCGGCTCGTGGAGGAACAGGGGCCAGGGGCTCTGCTGGTCATATGGTCCAAGTCAGGGGCACTTGCACCAGAGCCTGGAGTTGCTCTGGGCCTGATTAAAAACACCCAGCCTTCAGAGGACCTGCTGAATGAGTCTGAGCAGTACTCCCTGGTGTGCTCTGTACTGTCTCCAAATTCCAAAGAAACTTCTGCAGGGCTGTGCCTGTTTTCATGTGGCAAGTGGGAGGACTGATGGTCCAGGTGCCATAACTTGTCCCAGCATTTCCCAGGCTCCCAGATCCCCAAGAACATCACCAGTGTGGCAGATCCTGAATCTTCATGAAGTTTACTTTGCACTGGCCAGCATTTGTGCTTGGGGCAAGTTGAGGGATGGAAGCCTGGGAGGCAGCCCCGTCCCAGGTCAGAAAAGCACAGAATGCCCTGTTCAGGGATTTGGCAACGGGTCTCAGGGGAGACTGACAGAACTGAAGACGGGCTCTGTGCCAGATAGCACGTTTCTCATGTAATCCTCTGAACAACTCATTTTTTATAGATAAGGGAACTCCAACAAGAGACTTGTTCAAATCAAACAGCAAAGGACTGGAGGCAGCACTGCTTCCAGAAGAAGGGTCCCAGTAGCAGTCACAAAGGTCTACACTCAGAAGAGTCCTACACTTGGTTGACAGGGATGGCTGTTTTCCTACACTTGGTTGACAGGGATGGCTGTTTCTGACATCTCAGAGAGGCGTGCGCACTGTGATTAGGAGCACGCAGTCTGGCTGCAGATAGAATTGCGGAAGAATCATTGTTGCACCGGTTTGGACAACCACTTACCCTCTCTGGGCCTCGGTTCCCTCATCTTTGAAATGGGGCTAATTTTGATATTTGCCCCATAGGGTCACTGTGTGGATTAGATGAGACAATGCACGTAAAGACCCCAGAATCATGCCCGCCCAAGCAAATGCTCAATGTGTTGACTGTTGTTGACCTGGGTCTCCTGTGACCATGATTTTTTTACAGCACATCCCCAACCAGTATTTATACCTTGTGGCTGATCAATACTTCTCCAACAAGCACTCCCCGGTTGAGATACGAGATAGTTTTCTGGACTTGCTTGGAGATGTGTTCTTTGTGGTCCCTGGGGTGGTCACAGCTCGATATCACAGAGGTGAGTCTCTGAGTACCCCCACCCCCCACCCCACAGCAGGGTCACAGCCCAGCAAGGCCAGTGGCTGCAGAGAGTCTTGTGGCCTGATGACTGGCCACCTGCTCCACCCTTCTGTTCCCTCAGTGAGAGGGAGTTCTCAAGAATGTGTGGGATATAACCCTGCACACTGACCTTTGCAATTCCCGTGCCTTTCAGAGTTCAGGGATGTTGATCAGTTCTGTTGTTTCTGTTTCTTCTCCTTCAGGACCATGCAAAAAATTCCCACCTCCCCATAATTTGGGGGGGACTAGTTTCCCAGACTCCTTTCTCTTTGGAAGTGTCTTCCCAAGCACTTTAGCTCTAAGGAGTAGTGGAGCAACCAGAAAGAGTATTATTTGGGGGAACACAAACCTTGTCTCCCCTCTCCCTGCCCTAATTCCTTCTCTCTCTCCTTCTCACTCACTCTCTCTTTCTTCTATTCCCCTTTCCTCATCTTTCCACAATTTTTTTTTTTACCAAGAGCCTACTATGTGCCTGACAATATTCTGGGCCCTAGAGATACAGCAGTGAACAAAACAAAGACCCTGCCACCATGAAATTCACATTCTAGTGGGGGAGATTGATAACAAACAAGTAAAGATAGAATATGTATGTGTTAGATAGTAATATAAGTAAGATAAAACAGGGCAGGGGATAGCAGTTGCAGGGCGCTGTGGGATTCTGTATCATAAGGTCTACGGAGGTGATGAGGGAATGAAGACCAAGAATTGACTCTTGAATTTGGGAACACAGAGATCACCGGTGACTTTGACAGGAACTATTGTGATGGGATGATGTAGATAAAAGTCTGGTTAAAATGGATTCAAGAGAAAATGAGTATACTGATCTTCAGAGAATACATCCCAATCTCAAAATCTCAGCAGTGGTTTTGGAAAAAATGAATGAATTGATTTTAAAAATTTACATGGAAATGCAAGTATAGCCAAAACAATCTTGAAAAAGAATAACAAAGTTAGGGGGCTTACAAGTCATCTGATTTCAAGTCTTATTTTTGAGATGCAGGAATTAAGAATGTCTGGTATTGGCTGAAGGATAGACAAAAAGAACAGAGTGGAGAGTCCAGAAAATAGCCAATTTTTGACAGAGACGCTGAGATAATTCAGTGGAGAAAGGAAATTCTGTTCAACAAACAGAGCTGGAATAACTGGATATTTATGTAGAAAAAGTGACCCTCAACACCCTAACTCACACTATACACAAAAATCAATGTGAGATGAGTTGTAGATCCAAATGTAAAAGCTAAAATTGTACTTAAGCAAAATTAATATATATATTTTTGCTCATCAAAAAACACTGTTAACAATGTTAGCAAAAATAGTGGAGGAGGGAATTCCAAAAATCTGTCCCACCACAAAAGCAATGAATAAACTGATAAGTACTGTCAGAATCAATTTTATTAGAACCTGGAAACAAATCAAGGGTTTATAGCAAGCAAGTGAACATTTAATCAAGATAAAGATCCTTGAGTCTCAGTGAGAGAGTGTGGCATTTCAACTTACTCTGCACCATTTCCTGCTACCAGCTAGGCAGTGGCCTTTAAGACAGCAGCCCACATTTAGAGTATAGGCTCCTAGTACTGGAGGGAGAAAAAAGGACCTTATACTCAAAGAATTGTGGTTTTTTCCTTTAATCTATCTGGTGGCTCCCTAAACAACTAAGCTTAAGGGGATTGCTTTTATTTCACCTAACCCAGAACTGTCTCAGGGATTAGGAACCTACCTGGAGGGCATTTTTCATCAACATTTAAGGGTAAATGCATTTGCTGGGGCACCTGGGTGGTTCAGTTGGTTAAGCGTGCAACTCTTGATTTCAGCTCAGGTTATAATCTCAGGGTGGTGAGACTGAGCCCTGTGTCCAGTTCTGCACTGGGCATGGAGCCTGCTTAAGATTCTCTCTCTCCCTCTCCCTCTGTGCCTCCCCACCCCTGCTCACATGCACACATGCGTGCATGCTCTCTTTAAAAAAAAAAAAAAAAAAGTAAATGTATTTGTTGCTGCCACCAGAGGCAAGGGATAACAGTTAGAATAAACAATAGACAACACTTAGGAAGAAAAGCTGGGCAATGGAATGCTCTGGGAATAAAGGTTTGAGAAGCTCCCTCATGTTCCTGGGAAATTAGAAGGCCTTGTGCATGTCCAGAGTGGGGAGAATGCTCAGAAAAGGCCTGAGATGGCCCTAAGCTGTTATATCTGGTTGACCTGAAGGCTATTCTCTTACAGAAAGTGGAAGCTAAGTAAGAGTTAAAAACTGTCTAGCTGAGTGTTGAGGGTGTGCTTCAACACACACATAATGCCCATCTTCAAAGATTGGGAGCTTTTGTTTGTTTGTTTTAGGCATTTATGAAAATCTTAGCTGACTCATAAAATAATTAGTTCACCACTAAGATAACAGGAGAAAAAAGACTTTGGTGGTCACACATGACGAAGAATAGTCAAAATTAGTACAGAAACATTTCTAAACAAGCTAACAACAGCAACCACAACAAGCAGTAACAGTAAACCATGGCAAAGGGGTAGAATCTGATGATCAGAGTTGCCACGTTATAATATTCAAAATCTCCAGTGTTCAACAAGGCATGCAAAGAGATGGGAAAGTATGGCCCACAGACAGGAAAAAAGGAAATTAGTAGAAACTGTCCCCGAAGAACCCCAGACATTGGATTTACTAACCACTTTAAGCCAACTATTAAATATACTCAAATAGCTATAAAGGAAACCACATATAAAAAATTAAAGGAAACCATGAAAATGATGTTTCACCACATAGAGAAGCAATAAAGAGAGAATTTATAAAATTATAACAAGTAACAAGGTCCAAATAGACATCTGGCATTGTGAAATACAGCAACTGGAATGGAAAATTCATTAGAGGGACTCAATGCCAGATTTGATCATGGAGAAGAAAGAAACAGAGAACTTGAACATAAATCCATTGAGATTACCCAGTGTGAGGATCAGAAAGATAAAGGAATGAGGAAAAATGAACAGAGCCCAAGAGACCTGTGGAACACCATGAAACATCCCAACATATGCATGATAGGACTTCCAGAAGGAGAGGAAAGAGAAAAGAGGTAAAAATAATATTTAAAGAAATTATGATCAAAATGTCTCAAATTTGATGGAATTTGAATCCCAAGTAGGAAAAACTCAGAAATCCACATAGAGATATAATCAATCAAACACCAAAAACAGAGAAATTCCTGAAAGCAGTTAAGGTGAATAGACTAATCATGTACAAAATAGTTTCAATAAGATTAACAGCTGATTTCTCAACAGAAACCACAGAGGCCAGAGGCAATAGAATAACTTTTTCAAAGTGCAGAAAGAAAAAAAAGCCTGCCAACCAAGAGTTCCATATCTGTCAAAACTATCTTCAAAAATGAAGGGGTAATCAAGACATTACCAGATAAACAAAAATTGAGAGATTTTGTCACTAGTAAACCTGCCTGAAAAATGCTAAAGGGAGTCCTTAACACTGAAACAAAAGGACACTAGACGGAATCTCAAATCCACAAGAAGAAAAAAGAACACTACTAATGGTACTTACATTACTTATGTTTACTTATAGAAGTCAGTATTGTCTAATGTCTAATGTCTCCTTGTTTTCCTATATGATTTAAAAACAACTGTACAAAATAATAATTATAAATCTATGTTTTCACATACAATGCATCAAGATCCAATCTGTGCCAATAACAATATAAAGGCGCAGAGCTGTAAAGGGGGAAAGCTTTTGTATACTATTGAAACAAAGTTGGTATTAATTTGAAATAGATTATGATAAATTAGGATGTTAATTGTAACCCCAGGGCAACCACTTAGAAAATAACTAAAAATATGTATAGTAAAAGAAACAAGAGGGGATCAAAATGGTACACTGGAAAATATTATGGTAATGGAAGACTTGAAGAATAGAAAAGATATAAGACATATGGGAAACAAATAGTAAAATGGCAGAAGTAAGTCCTTCATAGTCAGTAATTATACTAAACGTAAATGGATTCTCTCAAAAGGCAGACATTGCAGAATGAGTGGATTATAAAAACAGTCCAACTGTATGCTGTCTACAAGAGACTCACTTTATTTTTTTTTAGTGGTTTTTTAAAATTTTTTTAATTGTTAAATCACCATACATTACATCATTAGTTTTTGATGTAGTGTTCCATGATTCATTGTTTGTGCATAACACCCAGTGCTCCATGCAGAACGTGCCCTCT